GATCCCCATCTTAATGTTTTTAGCTTTGTCTGAAGTACTTGTGATTCTTGTTAGGGTGTGTGCATGAAATTCCCACTTTGCAGAGGTATAGAGTATCTCTCTCTCAAATTTAGGGATTGGGTTCTTTCCTGCTCTGCACCACTTGGGTGTCTGAATTTTAAAGGCAAGAGCATTTTTTTTCCTAGTGCTTTCCCCTAGTACCATTGGGGAATTGATTTTAAAAGTGCCAATATTAAAAGTGGCCCTTCTAATTGAAAATGCCAAAATACACAGGTCATCATCAACTTATGACCACACTTGAGCCAAACAGTTGGGGTTTTGCCCCATTTTTTTGCCATAGTTGTCAAGCGAATCACTGCAATTGTTATGTTAGTAACAGTTATTAAGCAAGTCTGCCATCCCACATTGAGTCTGCTTGTCAGAAGGTTGCAAAAGGTGATCACATGACCCCGGGACAACTGTCATAAATATGAGTCAGTTGCCGAGCATTTGAATTTTGATCATGTGACCAAAGGGATGCTGCAACAATGTTAAAAATGGTCATAAGTCACTTTTTTTCAGTGCTGTTGTAACTTCAAATCGTCACTGAATGGTTATAAATCAAGGACTACTTGTACAGCTTAAGAAAAACAGAAAATGAGTTGCTCCCCCACTTTCTTTTAAAAGAAAGTGTTCTACAGAAGCACCCAGAAAATGTGTATAATTGATAATTAGCAGAGGTTTCAGAAGGTGAGGGAATCAGTGGAACAACATAAGCTTCTCACAAGTATCTGGAGTGGGAATTTCTTAAATCAACTTTTACTAGGTTACAGGTTGTGTGTAGAGAGAAGACCAAGTGTCTAATTGCACCTTTGTTGAAAATTGTAAGTCTCATATTTTCAAAGTGCAGATGAAAATACCTGAGAATAAAAGAGAATTCTGGGGGTCAGATGGGTGTCAAAGTCCTGAGTCACAGAACTGGCCAGTGTAACACAGTGGCATTTAGTTAAGGCAGATAAACACATCTTTCCCTCTGCCCTGCCCTTCCCAGAAAAGATTGGTATGCAACTTATTGCTGCATTGTCTAATTTCCCTACCATTCTAAGTTCAGCTATCTCTCAGCCTGCTACAGCTTCTGTACATTATAAAATGTAGCCAGATATGCTGTTATAAATAGGTTCCCATTAGAGTCAATCAAGGGTTTCCAATAAAACTTAACTGGCAACATCTTGTGGCTAGAATAATGTTGATCCATTTCTTATTCTTTTAGTTCTCTCTGCTCCAGAAATATGATTCCCCGTCATGTCATTTCCTCCATGTATAAGTGACCAACTAGAAACATCTACAATAACCAAGCTCAGAGAGCACGTCATGCCAACCCTGAACTACAAATATTCCTCTTTATTGAGCCATTTCTACCTGTGGATCATTATTCTAGATGGCTTGTTCACAGACTTCAATCATGTGGGTAGGAGAGGTTAATGAAGTCTACATTCTCTGTTTTTCCATGGACCGATACAACCACACAAAGCCTGTGAGAGAAATTCATTCTTCAAAGAATGTAGCGTCATGCATCCATTTAGCATTGATTTGGTGGAGCAACAAACTCTCAGCATGGAATTTCTTCACTTCCTAGATGAAAATTACACATTATAGGACAGATGACATGACTTAGGGCCAAAATACACAAAGCATCACTGAGCAATTTTTCCCTCAATAAAAACGGGAAAAAACCCTCGCACAAAATCTTGCCATTTTAACTTTCTTCTGTTTACAGATTCCTTTATCTCGTCAGAAAATATTAACTAGCAGCAGCCTAAATTGCACTGGAACATCTAAAACGTGAACTATGAACAGTGAGACTTGTGACACATTCTTGTTTGGAGATTTTCAACCTTTTCTCTTACAGTACATTTTCAGACAATTTAAAATACTTCATTGGCTAGTTTAAGATCTGGTCTAGCCAGTTCTTCAAATATTTACCTGAGTGATAAATGCTTCTTGTATGATAAAAGAATAAGGAACTTATCAGATAAAACCCATTTGGGGCAGTGGCTCAGAACTGTTTTTGTAAGTGCATAACTCCTTTTCTTTGCATGTAAAGGATCCATGTTACAGAAATCTTATGATTTACGTAAGTATCTCTATCTACATACAATATCTCAAGGAATTCCAACATGCCAAATTCATAACTTAGAAATAAGTAGCTTTCAAGAAATGTGTTGGAGACATAATGTGCTGACACTTATGACAAAGTGGGCTATAAAAGGGAAATGTTTTCTGAGTCAGCCCGTTCCTCTAAAAATGCAAAAAAAAAAAAAAAAAATTAGACCAATCTCAGCTTTTCCCTGCTATATTGTTTCAAAGATTATGTATTCTTCAGCTGGTCACTACTGTTAATATTCAGCATTTTGTCAACATATAGCTTGCTTAAGAAGATGATACCATCACTTATTTTTCAATACATTAAATTCAGTAAATTTAACTTAGGATGAAAAATGAAATATTGATTTTGGCCATGGTCACGAAACTATTTTGTTTCTTAGAAGAAAGTTGGATTGTTTTATTATCAGCTACTCTAAGCTTTGGAACAGCAAAATATAAGTGTTTTAAGGTTGGTAATGATAAACCTTATAAACACATATTCATATATACACATCTACACACACCATATGCGCGCATTCACAGATGTACACTTTTAAAGAAAGAAAGCAATACAGCTCTTTTCGTGAGTATATTTTTTTTCCTCTGGAATGGTTACTTTTCCAAATTTCAATTCAAACTTTTTTTTTTTAATTTTAAACCATTCCATGTTATCTCTTTATTGCAAAAAGTCAACATGCATCTTAGAAATTCAAAATGTAATCAATAAAACAAACATTACATATATGAATTTAAATGTATAAACAGTTAGAAATCCAACAATATCTCCTAATATACTATTACACAAGTTCACAATCTTGTAAAAACTATAATACAAGTTAATGTACATTGAGAGGAATTTAATATTCCTTTTCACATGATTTCATTAAAAATGTTGAAGCATCTCCACTGTATGTGGGCGATTATGGGTTGTTGTTTTTTTTGAAAAGTTTCAGATGCTGTGCATTTTTGTATGTAAGGATTAAAAAATACACCACAGTTAAACCGACAGTTTATATAGTAGTAGCATTAATATCTGTAAAGCTTTAAGGGGATGATTCACTGAGCATTTACATTATGACATTCTTTTCAATGTCAATAGAGTGATACATTGCTAACTGGTTAGAAAGGGATATTTTATATATATAGTGAAGTTTTATTAGAATTCCTAGCTTTCAAGGTACTTTGCGGGTATATTTATACTATGCTTTCTGTTATGGCTTATGACTATTAAAGGGACAATTTCACAGCAGGTGGTACCAGAAGTTACCCAGTAACACATTAGTTGTTTTTTTTTAACAAGTTCTAATACACAACACAGGGAGATTCATAGCTACATCAAAATGAAGGTCACTTTGAACTAGTTTCCTATTTTCTTTTTAAGTGAGTTATCACTATGCTGCCCAGTACTTAAATTCTCAGTAACACAATAGTATGCTTTCAATACATAAATTTAGGGGCACAACTCAAGTTTTGTGCTTGTAGGATGAGAAATTACATTTACGCTGTCACTAGAGGATTTATGTGTGTCAACTTACACTTAAAAAACCAGGAAAGAAAGCAAAGATGGGAAAAATTTATTTAATAAATCTCTCTGTTGGCCCCTATCTCTTCTCTGTGAAAAAAGCTAACATTTTGAGTAAAGATATTCATTCTGTCCTGAACAGCATGCTAACAAAAGTTATTTAAAACCATATGAAAAGGAATCCCATCCAGTCTAACTGTTCCAAAAGCTAAGGAAATTTTTCTTACAGCTTCGTTCAGTCAACTGTAATCTTCCAGATACAAAAATACATACATAAGAATTCTTATGGAAATCTAGATGCTGGTAGTTTTTAGTACACAAAAAAAGCAAAAATATTTACAAAATTATACAGTTCTAAGAAAAAACCCTGTACAATATATATATGTGTATATATATCTCTCTCTTTCTATATATATATATATATATGTATCTCTATATATGTATACATAAATCCTTTGTTCCCTCTATTATTAACTAACTGTCCAGATTCAAGCGTTTTTCTTGCTGGGTCAATATATGTGATGGCCACATACTGAGCCACAAGCATTCTAGATATCACAGGCCATGGGAGAAAAGCAAGGCTTTGCCTGTTAAAGAGTGTGCAATATTCGTGCCTTATTGTTATAACTTAATTCACTGAGATTCAACATTAGTAGGAATGTAGCAATAATCTAGAACACAAAGGCCTTTACATAAAGGGCAAATAAGAGCTGGTAGCATACACTCTTACTCACTTATGGATGGAATTCAAACGGGATGTGCTTTTATAACAATGTACATAGTTCCCAAAGTGTGAGGAAAAAAAAAAAAAGTTCTGGCAGCAAGACCAGAAACATGAAACCAACTTAGTAGTTCGGATACTTAGATTCAATTAAGTACCACTATGCTAATCTGAATGTAGGATGAAAGATATAATTAAATTTTCGAATTAATGAATGCCGAGGTGCCATGGGAATTGATACAGTAATGTTTGCCTTGCTTCATCAATCTTAACTTAAATGCAGTGACATCATATGGCCCTTGCATAACATGCTGTTCTTATCTATGGCTAGGATGGGGATAAACAATGGCCCTTCAAGAGTTTTTTTAACTATTGTCCTTAAAGTCACAGTCAGTGTGTCCTATAGTAGGCTATCTGGGGAGCTGTATCAGACAGCCACATTTCCTCGTCACTGACCGTGAGATAGTATACAAAAGCACTAAGAGATGACCCACAGGAGGACATATTTAGACTTCATAGCAGCAAGAGACATGGGTTATAAAGATCTATTGCCCTTGCAGTAAAAAAATGTAACATAATGTCTACCAAATTTACACCATGAACTATTTGGTGTTTTTTTTTTTTTTTTTTAAAAAGAGGGAAGACTAGACACATTTTTATCAGCATGCGGACAAAAAAAAATATGCTTAAATCAGTGTTTTACTTTTTTTCCTCAACTCAATATTAATTTTTAATGTGTTATAACCTGAACTCGCAATATTATTCTAAGTGCTGGCTTAGTATCTATTATTTTAAAACAAGATTGTTTTTATTTTGCAATTCTATGGGTTGCAGGAAATATATCACTTGGAACAGTGCATTGGCTTTTCCTTAAAAAAATAAAATGCAGCCATTAATTACCCTGAAAAGAGTTTTAGAGATAGGTCATTATCAAAACAAATAATTTCACATTACCAATACTGTTAAAAAAAATATTCCTACTGTGGTCATTTTTAATAGATTTTAAGGCTGACAGTTCCACCGAACTAAAATGTGAAATCAGAGCAGAAGTGCTTGGGTCAGTTGCATTCCTAATGGTAATTAAAAGAATGTTTAAAGATGGGAAAGAAACAAAATACTAGAAAAAGGAGTCACTATCACCAATGCTGGCAAGAACTACTATCATTCTGACAACCATATTTCAGATAGTGGAATATAGGAAAAACAGCTCCTTCACAAACATATGTGCAATTCCTGATTGTTTTTCAATTGAGATTTACTTAAGCTGCCTGCCACCCAATGAAAGGAATTCTGAATTAGCAAATTCTAGACAATGTTGACGAATTTGACATTGTTCTCATCTCAGATTCCACATTGCTAATAAAAACTACGAAGTCATTGATATTTAATAAAACAAATTGCTATTTTAAAATCAGAATGAACAAAAGTTGGGCTTGAAAGACTAATATATTTTACTTTTATAAGATCACAACCATTTTTACAGCTTTGTAGAAGCTCTGGGCCTTTGGCTGATCATAGCTACTTACTTGCTAAGTTTACATATCAAACACATTTGTTATTTTAATGTATATATATATATATATAAAATGAAAAACAAAAACAGATTTTTGGCTCATGGACTTCCTTTAAATATTTTTAAAAAATTTGAGTTCGAACAATTCTAAAATTATATGCTTCCTCTTGAAGTTTCATCTTCTCCAAGAGCGAGATTCATCTTCATCTTCATCTTCATCATCATCATCTTCAGGTAGAAATAAATCTGATGTTTCTGTCTCCTAAAGAAAGATAAAATGTAATATGGTTATAAAATTATAGTGATCTTACAGTCCATTCCTAAGACTACATTTCTTTCTTGGGATAAATCTCCAAAGAAATCTAGCCACATGCAAACAAATACTAACAAAAATTCTAGCTGTGAAATGGCAGAAATACTGAACGCTATGAAATCATGAATTATATTTATTTATCAAATTTAGAGATTGCCAACTCATTGTGGAAAAAGTACAAGTAAAAATATTTTTAAAATTAATACTAGTCTAATGCTTGATCCATCCTGTAATGGGCTATGAGAATAACCTTGGCAGAAAGGACAAAGGAGGAAGAATTGCAGCCTAGAGAATGGCCAGACAGGAGCTATCTCAGCCCACAAAAAGAATGTGGGGTGAGATAGCAAGTTAGAAGGGACCCTCCCTGGTTCTCTGGAAAGGAAAGGGAAGGGAGGAGAGAAGTGCTTTCAGACTTGCAAGATTAATAATAATAATAATAATAATAATAATAATAATAATAATAATAACAATAACAACAACAACAACAACAATAATAATAATGATAAAGTTGGAAGGGACCTCGGAGGTCATCTAGTCCAACCTCCTGCTCAGGCAGGAAACCCTATACCATTTCGGACAAATGGCTGTCCAGTTTCTTCTTAAAAACTTCCAGTGTTGGCGCATTCACCGCTTCTGGAGGCAGGTTGTTCCACTGGTTAATTGTTCTAACTGTCAGGAAGTTTCTC